GTATTTTGTCAAAGACAAGCAGCTGAAAACAAAATAGGCCTTGTGATAGTGCTGCATGCCTTATTACCTCCTGATAATAACTTTGGGCTGCTAAGTGCAACTGTGGAATATATCCAGCCTCAGTGGTTGCAGGTTCTTCTTGTTTTTACCTGGCAGTCTAGGTTCTGTTTTCCAGGCTCACATGACTTTCTAGTGCAAGGAGAAAATGAGCCCAGTGGAACTGAAACGAGTTTCCTCACAACCATAGGGGGTGGTGATCCTTAGATTTGCCACTTAAAAAATTTGTTATCGAGAGCAGTTTTGCAAACCTTTCTTACACTAGTTTCCAGAATAAACGTGTCTCGCTTCTAGACCATAACCTAAATGATCTTCTGTCTTTTTTTTTTCCTTGCAGCATCATCAGCACCAGGCTGCTCAGGCACTCCACCTGGCAAACCCACAACAGCAGTCGGCAATTTACCACGCAGGTCTAGCTCCAACCCCACCTTCCATGACGCCAGGCTCCAATACGCAGTCTCCACAAAATAGTTTTCCTACAGCACAACAAACAGTCTTCACCATTCATCCCTCCCATGTTCAACCTGCATATACCAATCCGCCACACATGGCCCATGTCCCCCAGGTAAACACAGTTTAACAACCTTCAAGACTAAATGTCTTAATGCCACAAAGTTAGGACAGTCGGGCCTGCTGAAGTGATTTCCATTCTGTCACCTCTCAGCACAGACTACCTGTTGTGTTACTTAGGTTTCTGTCTGTACATTGCCTTTATTTAGAATTTTACAAGATATTTGGACCTCAGCTTCCAACACCCAGTGCATCTACAACTGTAGTTTAATGAAGACATCTTAAACTGGCACTGCTACTGAAAGAAATTGAGCTCTCTTCCCAGTTCCCGGCTCCCGTCCTTGTCCTGCCCCACCATTCTGCTCACAGAACTGTTTGGCCATGCAGCAAACCAGACTGGGGACATGATTCAGCTGAAGTGTGCCTCCCCTACCCTCATTTTAGGCTATTTCTCAGTCAAATCAGTTCACTACTCAGGTTCACTGCATGATCACAGGAAGAGCTGGCATACAGAAAGGTTGGAGGTGAGAGCTGAGTGGAGGAAGGCTGAATTGCTGTTTTTGGTGGCAGTTTTAGGCTCTGCATTGTAGTCAAATTTACACAAGTACATCCAGTAGAGGATATTACACAAGATGACTAGGGAGTAGCAAGGCACTGCAGGGGGAGATAGGTGAGATTCAGTTCAGATGACTGCAAGACAGTCCTTGCTGAGAGAGAAAGAAACCCGTGTGTGTGCGTATATGTGTGTGTGTGTGATTCTCAGTGGACCGCTTATGCAGAAGATCCCTCTTGATTGTTGGGCACCTTAACAGTCCTTGCTTCAGGATCAGAAACACACTTCTCTTAACTGCTCTCTGGTGGTCAACTCACTGAAAACAGGAATTTGGGAAGGGAAGCGCATGACTGATTAATTGAGCTCTGCATAAAGCAGCGTTACAGAGATTTTCTGATGTTTACTAAATCTCATGGATTTAGTGTGCATTGTCAAGGAATGGACAGTTAATCAGTAATTTCGCCTGCACAATTTCTTCTTCGGTCCAAGTACTTGATGTCTGGCTTATACCTTCTCATACAGGTTAACAATAGTTTGGGATAGCGTGACTAACAAATTAGGGAGGTTAGTCTAATAGGTGTCCAGTCCCTTGCAGAATTCTGATAAAATCTTTGCTTGGTCCCTGGGACAGTCAGTTTAAACCAATGAATTAATAGCTATTTAGGAATTGTTTTACTGATGTTGAGTTTTTAGCTTTTTAATTCCATTAGGCTTTTAATTTCTCTGCTTTTTTACTGTGGGAGGATAAGGAGAGGATGCCCAAACTTGACTACTGGGGTGGCATCTTGCCGCGTCCTCCCAGGTTCTGGTTTCTGCCAAAAACAAGATACTTGCTCTGCTCTGGTGTGATGGCACTGGTGTGAATGCCTAGGTTGTAGAGCTTCTCGGGGTGCCTTGCGTGCAACCCTTCGGAAGGGTCTTGCTGCAAGCTCCTGGGTTAGTGGCACATTCAGTGCCATGCCTTGAAATTTGAAACATGTTTGTTTTAAGGTCAGCTTAGAGGTAAAACTGTAGACGAATTGTGCTGTACACGTCAGGGCCAGGCGCGTGCTGGCGCCATAGGATGCGACCATTGCCTTCCTTTCTGTGTGCCAAGCACTTAATGAACAAACCTCGCTAAAGCAAATCAGATGCAACTTTTAGTCAGAACTGACTGCTCAGTCAGGATTTTTCAGCAATCACAGGCAAAGCCTGCTTTATCCCTGATTTTTGACTTACGCAGTCTCTTCTGCTGTAATTTTAGGATGAAAACTACAATCTGTAATCCGTGATCCTTATACCAAACCAGCCAACTTTTCAAAATGAAGTAGTTCCCACAAAAATCTCTAATGAAGGAATAACTACAGTTCTGTAAGAAATTTTAAATGCATGTAATTATTCCATTGTGGGGAAACTAATCACTGGATTTAATAGTTTCTCAGCAGCCTCATTTCCAACTTCTGAACACAATTCTAAAATGCCATGTAGTAGGAATTTCAGTTAGGCTAACACAGGCAATCAATTGAATTTCCCTTTAGGTTATCAGATGAATCTTGAGCTGTTAGATATCTCACTTGAGAAACAGTACTTTCAAATTCATTACCAGAGTACTGTCAGCTGCCAATTTGCAAAGCGTTTGAGCCACAGCAGAAAATTTTTATCCAATGTGTGTATTGAATACAGCTGCTATATGAATAGCTGCTTTATAATGATGACTGCTATAATAGCATGTTTGTCAAAGTAAAAATGGTGCTGATCCTGAAAGGTATTTCTGTTTCACAGCCTTATCTTCCAAGCCTTTTTTAGAGCAAGAGTGAGATTTGAATTGCAGTTCCTGCCTATAAAGGCTTCTTGAGTGCTCCTAATACAGCGCAAGTCTGATAAAGAGTTTGAGGAATGTCTGTGATGAGTCAAGTAACCATTCTGTCTTTAAGAAATAAAATTGTAGCCACTACCTGCTATCTGTCTTTACTGGCATGTGAAACTTGTGAGGCTGCAATTACTGCACCGTAGTGCTCTGTTAATGGGATATGGTAATGGACAAAGCAAAACTTAGATACAAATGCTTTTTTTTTTTTTTTCCTTCAGAAGAAACCCACTGAGAGCTCTAAGAGTTCCTTAATGTTTTGTGCTTTTAAGAAACTAGTGTTTACTAGATTTTTAAACCAAAAAATTGATGACCTCTAGAGTCATGAACTGCTCTGAGCTAAAGAAGCCAACTGACAAGTTACTGAACTTGTTTGCCAGAAGGTGATCAGCAATCGTAAAGATCAATCTCTTTTTTCCACTGAGACTTAACTATGATTGCTTAGATTACACAAGGACCTTAAGTGTGATGAGCTTAACTGGAAACAGAGCAAAGCTGACCTAACAGTATAAAGGGATGAAATCACTCATCGTAGAATGACTGCTTAGATGAATGATAACGTGGGCACAGGTCACTGGAGAGAGTGGTTTCCAGGGCAGGGAGCCACGGGAGGGTGTGGAGTTGCGCAATGAGCAGCCGAGGAAGGGGTGCCAGACTCCCAGTGCGTGTGAAGTTCCTGTCTGTACCCAGTGCATTCTCCATGTAGGAAGTGCTTTGATCTAGGTTACTAACAGTAATGTTTTGAAGATTTGTTGCTGAGCTGTTTTTTTGGTTAGTTTTGTTTTTGGTTTTTTGTTTTGTTTTGTTTTGTTTTTTTCTTAAATATCCCGCTGTTTAATGCTGGCAGTTTCTCTCAGTACTCCCTGTCCAAATGGCTAAAATTGAGAATGTGACTCAGAGCCAGCAGTAAGGATTTGAGCCCTTTTAAATTTTTTTTTTATTTTTCATTATTTTTTTTTTTAGTTATTTTTTTTTTGTGTTAAGATCTCTGCCTTAATCCCTATAGCTAATCTAGTTAAAATGGAGTAAATCTCTGGATTTACTGGTACAGCTGGAGAAAACTTGACAGTCATGTGGCCAGGAGTGATGCCTCCTTGTGACCATTATACTAAAGAGCTCTTTGTTTCAGGCTCATGTACAGTCAGGAATGGTTCCTTCTCACCCAACTGCCCATGCTCCAATGATGCTAATGACGACACAGCCACCTGGTGGTCCCCAAGCCGCCATCGCTCAAAGTGCACTACAGCCCATTCCAGTCTCGACAACAACACATTTCCCCTATATGACGCACCCTTCAGGTGAGGAGTGTGTGCCCGGGAGACCTGCACCTTAACTGAGCCAGGTCGTAGTAGTGAGGAGAACTGTTATGAACCAGATATGGGGAAAAGAACGACAGAAAAAAAAAAAAAAAAAAAAATCAACCTTAAGATGTCCTTGTAGAGTGGCAGGCTGCTGAAGGCAGACAGTTTCTGCATTTCGCATTTATACTTTGCCAGCCCGAATGTGAGCCTAGATAAGCGTATGAGATTTAGCAATGGCTTTGCTTCTCTCTAGCTGAAGTAGAGAAATGCATAACTATGCAGACACTGGCACTGTGGGACTGTGTTCTTCCAGGTTTTGCCGTGGGGGATGGACTGTGTAGCCTGTTACAATGGTCTGGGGTTTTATTAAATTTAAAGTGATCGGTCTTGAGGATAGGAGTGACAATGTTGCTTGGGGGTAGGGCTGTTAGACTGCTAATGACTGAAGTAAAGTGACAACTAAAGTCTAATCTTTAATTCAGAGTACCATTCAGCAGCTTTACTTTTTGGGAAAAGTAGGTGCTGTATGACTTCTTTCCGCTTTAAATTTAACCTTACCTAGGTTTCTTTTTTATTCATTTCCAAACAGCCTCTAAACTTTTGTAGTGAACTAGTTACCTGATCTTGTTTCTTGGGGAATGTGTGAGCAGAACAAGGCTGCTTTCTGAGGGTTTAGGTAGGGAAAAAAACATCCAAAGGACATCTTGATATGCAGGGTTTTGTTTTGTTCTCTAAAAATAAAAAAAAAAAAAAAAAAAAGAAAAAATGGAAAAAAAAAAAAAAAAAAGAAGAAAAAGTACAGCTCAGTAGTTGTCCTGTGACCACTTTACTAGCAAACTGTTGTGTGGCTTGCCAATTTATTATTTACATTTGAACTTTTTTTTTACAGTACAAGCCCACCACCAACAGCAGTTGTAAGGCTCATCTGGAATAACTGAAAGGCTGGATACCTTTTGTAGGCCAAATACCCTCCTTCTACTGCTTCTGCCAACTGGAAGCACAGAAAACTAGAATTTCATTTTATTTTGTTTAAAAAAAAAAAAAATTGATTTCTTGTAACATCCACTAGGAATGCTAACAGTTCATCTTGCAGTGGGAGAGATTCGGACTGAGTAGAGGCATTTAGGAACTTGTGGGCTATTCCATAATTCCATGCACTGTATCTGAGTCCTGCAAGTGCCCCAACTCTGCTTGCTGAAAACTGGAAGTTATTTATTTTTTAATGACCCTTCAAAGTTATGAACTCATCAGCTAGCAAAAGAAGTAACAAGAGTGATTCTTGCTGCTATTATCACTAAAAATCAAGACTTGGAGATCCCTTTTACTTCTAACTAAACTTGAAACAGGTTCAGTAAAAAAAAAAAAAATTCTAATCGTCAAACTGATGAATTATTATTTATAAATCACGTTTGATGAGATAATCACTATCGTGAGACAGTGATGTAACTTTTAAGTTAAGAAAACTTTTACTTTGTAGATAATATAAAATAAAAACTTAAAAAAAAATTAAAAAATAAAAAAAGTTTTAAAAACTGACCTACGTAGTGTTTGTGTCTTGTTTTACCAGTATCTTACTCTCATGTGTTCTCCAGCTTTCAATCCAAATCGGAGCGAATGTTTTATTTAGCGCCAGGTGAGCTCTGCTCTGTGCGTGTGGTGCTGCCGTGTCGTGTGCGTGCCCCCCACCGTGAAACCGAATCCGTCGTATTTGACTTGCAAAAATAAGTGAGAGGTTTCAAGATCAGGAGTTGGGTACAGTTTTTTAACAATTTCTTGTGTTCAGATCGATCCCGTAATGCCTCAGCTTTACACTGGGGTCACAGAGGATGTCGCAGCTGGGCCTGGAGGTTTATGATGGTAAAACTACGCGTCAGTGGTGCTGCTGGAGAAGGAAAGAAAGAAATGGGGGTAAGCATGCCTTAGCAAAACGGCTTGTAAAAGGACAGGGAAAAGGGTAGGAGAAAGCAGTTGGCTGCCGCCTCCCTCAGTAGCGCAGGCTGAGCCCTGCTTGTGAAGTGCTGTGCTCTTCCTAAGTGGCCGGTATGGCGCAAGTATCCTACGCCAGCTAACCAGATGATGATGCTGGTTAAACTGGGTTATAATATAGTTGCGCTGCAGAGGCAGGCCAGGTACACTCGTACCAGCTTTTGCAGGCAGCAGTTAACGTCCCGTTGTGGCTTGGTGAAAAAAAATGCTGGGGAATACAGATACCGCGGCAGCTTCTGTCTTAATCCTTCCAGGTCAACAGGGCAGTGAAACGGAATGAATTGACGTTCAGGTGGGCAGCAGGGGGCATGAGACTGTCGCAGACGGTGGCGACTCGGGGCAGGACTCCCTTGAGTCGAGTCTTGGGAGAAGGAACAGCGCGCTCACACAGGCTGTTGGCTTGTGTTCCATCTCTAAGGGAGCGTTTCCATCTTTTAGCATCCAGTATCTGTTAAAATGGTTTCCAGGCACCTAGAGAGAATCAGACTGAAGACTAAAAGTGAGAAACGAGTTCTAAAAACAGTTTATTAAGAGCAGATTTCTTTATATTATGGTAAAATTGCATTATTCAAGAATAAGTTACTTGTACAGTACATACAGAAACAATATATAGAAAAACCTACTATACAAGAAGAACTTTTCTGTGCAGGTGAAAAGTAGAACTTTCAAATCAATACACTTTTCATCCAACAAACTGTTGGCTTTAATCATCCTGCTAAAGGCTGAGTTAGAGAATGCACAGTCGCCTCCCCACCTCTGGTAGTTGCTGGCGAAGGTTGGGGCTGTTCGCATTGAACAAGCTTAAATTAAAATTTGGAATACTGTACTCAAACCTGTTAGTCAAGATTTCAAGGCTCTAGATGTTTGTTAGAGTAAAACTGCATTGGTGGGATGACAGCAGTGTTCTGTGGTCCGGAGACTGTAAGAAATGAGAAGCTTTGGCCTCACCCTGGACCCGGAGCTCTTTCTAGAAGCTTTGCCCCGAAATAATTTCGAAGCAAAAGCGAGCGGCGAGGCAAGGGTGGTGTCAGTGTTTGGTAACCTGCTCTGGATTGCTGGTGCCGTTCATCAGGGCTGGGGTGCAGGAGGGAGGGACGGATGAAGAAGCTCAATTAATGCTCCATGTCATGAACTTCTTCAGAACCTGTCACGCGAAAGCCACCGAAAGGGAGGTTCTGTCCGCAAGCAGCAAGCGGTTTCCAAAGCCTGAGATGGAGATGAGGGGGAGAAGGTCTGGCTGGACCAAAGTCTTAGGTTGTGCACTAAGGCAGGTCCCTGCTGGCGCAGAGTGATACCCCTTGGGCATCGGTATTGCCCAAACCGACTGTTTTCAGCTGGCTGAAATGGGGTGTCCCTCCCTGACAGCCCATTTCGGGGGACGGTCATTGGGCAAAGGCTCCCCCCAAAGCCCAGCCCATCTCTGCCCTGTGGGTCATGGCTTTGTTCCATGGGATCCAGACTCGGGGTGCACGTGCCCGTGAGCACATCTGACTTAATTTCAGCTCTAGGAAATGCTCTTTCTCCGGGGGAGCCCGGGAGCCGGCTGTACCTGTGTGCAGGGCCTCTTCCCTTGGCTTCCCCTCCAAAAACTCAACGCTGATACTTCATACAGGCCAATAAAAGCCCATGTGGGCTGGGGAACTAAACCTGCTAAGTCCTAGGCTGTTTTCCCAAGTTACTGGAAGAATCTAAAACTTCCTGTAAGTTGCTTTATATTCCATAGAATGGAATGGTTTAACGCTCTTTGCCCACTGCAGGAATAGCGAGGAGCTGTTTACGGGCTGGATTAACGTAGCCGAGTGTGCTGGCAGGAGCAGAGGTAGGGCTGCGTGCGGTGCAAGCCAAATACTTTCTAGGAGAAATGGGATTTCAAACTCAGTCCTCCAGGAGCTGGGGAAAGAGCCCAAAAAAACCCCTCGGGTCCCGGTGCAGCTGGGGTTGGGACCACAATGGGTCCGAGCTGCGGCAGAGCGCAGGACTAAGGTGGGGAGATGGAGCTGGGCAGCTGGACAGCCCTTGGCTGCCTTGTTGGGGAGGGTCTGAGATGGAAATAACTCTATTAAAAAATCAGAGCGACTTCCCCGCTGCTCACCGGTGGGGACAACAGGAGTTTGCATCCACCGGAGTTTGTTTGCACAGGGGAAGCGGCTGATGGGGCGATAATGAACTCAATGTATATTTTGCTAATCAAGCGCAGCAATTTCCATTTAAACTACGGAGAAACCCCTTGCAATTAAACTGCAGGTTAAAAATACCACATGCGTGTGCATGTTTAGTTGTTGGCGCTCGAACAATAAGCCCCGGCGTGCCAAAACAACCCATCCCAGCAGCAGCAGCATCTGATTTATCTGGCAAGGGCTGCGCTGGCTGTGAAGAGCAATCCCTTTTTCCCAGCCCATTCTTTCTTGCAGATGCTCTGAGCGTAGGATGATTCGGGTGAGACCACCTCGTCTTTCAGGGCTGCCTGGAACTCAGCGGGACTAAAAATCAGCTCTTTTAACCTTAGAAAGATTGAGCGTGTGCGAGTGTTTTCGGAGGCGTGCAGGACCTGGGAACCACGCGCGGAGGAGGCAAAGGAGCCGACAAGTTGCGCCATGCTTCCTCCCCCTTCCCCTCATCGCCCCTAGAAATGCAACGCCGTGGGGAGTCATTTATGAGCAACGAAGGGACTTGACTCTCCCAGCACAAACCAGCCCTGGCTCCTGCCCTTCGGTGCAGCCTTTGTGCTTGGTGCGGGGAGGAAAACGGGACGCGGCTGCGGCAGAGGAGCTGCAGCCGAGGACAGGGCTGCCTTTGTCTCTCCGGCAGCCTGGCCAGGTTTGGCAGCGCTGGAGGTGCCGACCGGCCAGTGCAATTTGCTCTTAATGCTCCAGCTTCAAGAGTGAGTGTGCGCCGGGGAACGCCGATCCCCGCCACGATACAGGATTGCTCCCCGTGTGCCCATTTTCGAGTTGTTTCAAACAGAGGAAGGGAGGGAGAGAAAAAAAAGACCTTGCCTGCTCCGAATGTACAAAGAGAGCCCAAGAGAGGGCTGGGGCAAGAGGTGGAGAGGCACAAAATGCAAACCCTGAGTGGTTTCTCAAATCCCGTTCCTCCCAGCTCTCATCCTTTGACTACAATTCATGAAACCAGATTTGCTCTCAAAGCAGCTCCCTGGTTCTGCCTGGTCCTGGCTCCTGCTTGTGCTACATCTGCCTTTTCTGGCCTGGCCCAGCACAACAGCACCGTGACCCTGCCCTTCAGTTCCTGCCCTTAAGCAGAGCTGGGCTCCTTGGGCTTTGCCTATCAACCAGGCTTAATGGCAAAGCCCTACCCAGAGGCTGGATTTTTGCAAAACTCCCTAACTCTGCCCCACGAGGCTTTGTGTTTGCTTGCTTTGAAACTAATTCCTAAATGTTAATGCTCCTGAGGACTCCCACCTCTATCGCAATTGCGAGGAAAATTAAAACAAAAGGCAATTTCAAGGCGAGTTTTGCATCCAAAATCCCAGGGAGTGCCGCACGGGCTGCGCTGAGAAATCTGCAAGTTGGAGGCTGTGAACATCCCCTCCCGCATGTTGCAACGGCTCCAGCCCCTTCCTTATTCTTAAAATAACGGCAGCTTCTAAGAAGCGGTTCCTCTCTCGGCGCGGCCGCGCCGGCTGCCCCAGGTAAAGCAGCACCGGGGCTCGGCGGCACCGATGGCTGCAGGGCCTGAACATACCTGCAAGAGGCTGTTGTATAACTTTAAATATCACCAAACTCTTGGTTACAGAGTGTTTTAGGAGGGAAAAAAAAAAGAAAAAAGAAAAAAAAAAAAAAAAAGGGGCAAGTGAGAGCAGGGTGGGCAGCCACCTGCGCTGGAGAGGTAAAAATATGTTTTGGGAAAAAAACTCATTTTAGATTTGTGCCTAAAATGCTTCCATCACCAGGCTAAAACACTTCCATCACCGGGATAAAATGCCTCCATCACCGGGAGGAGTGGTTTGCTGTCAGTCTCCGTGTTAGTTCTCAGCTAGTGACATTAATAATGATGGAGCAGTTAGTGTTCATGTCTTAATTAGCAAGGGTAATGGTGTAAGTATTTGGCTGGTGCAGGGAGCAACTGCAACTGGGCCAGGTTAAAAAAGAAGAGCAAGAAAAGCCAGTTTTTGCCTTATTGAAAAAGAAAGCCTAAACTCTGATCGCGATCGGCATCTTTGCCCGATGTGGGAGCTCAGCTCCGGCAGGTCGGGCTTTGCCGGAGGGTTTGGCAGCGGCAGCACGTGCTGGGGTGGGAGGACGGGGCTCGTCTTTGCCTGCACGGCCTGGAGCAGCAACTGGTCAATGAATTTATAATCCACTTTTTTTTTTTTTTTTTTTTTTTTTCCCCCTTTTTTTCTTCCTTTCTCCAATTATATGCGTGTAACGCAAGACCCCGGATCCTTCGCTGGGTGCCGTCATGTCAGGGACAGGTGGGAGACCTTGGCACGCAGGGACGCAGGCACGAGCGGCATGTGTAAACAGTAACGAGAAAGCTTTGATAATAACAAAAAAAAAAAAAAAATTAAAAAAAAAAGGCCCTTTAACAGGCCGAAGAGAGGGAGCGCACCCGTACTGGAGTGAAAAATTACCCCCTTCCTTGCAAAAATATAATAATCATCCCTAACCAGAAGGAAGAAAGTAGTACGTTGATGGGGTACTTGGAAGGTCTCTATGATTTCTCCACCCGAAAGTGCATCCCGGTGCCGGCGCGGCGCCTGTCAGAGTGGTGTGTACTGGTTGTCGATGGCGCGGACGTGGCCCCGGCCGGGCGCCTCCACCTCGTAGTCCGAATCGCGGGGTCGGGGGCCGGGGGCTGGGGCTGCCCTGCTCGGGCGCAGGCTCTGCGCCAGCTCGGCCGGCGGCGGCACCAGGTGGAAGATCTGCTCCGGGGGGGTCTCGTCGGGGTTGCGGGGGCAGGAGGAGCTGGTGGGGGCGAGGCTGAATTCGGGGTTCCAGCCGGGGACGGGCAAGGGGAGCTGGACCGTGCTGCCGGAGCTGGGAGCTGTGGGTGGAGGGGAGAGATGGTCGGTCAGTGGGATGCTCCCACTGCGGGTATTGGGGTACAGCGGGTATCCCCACAGCCCCCCCCCCCCCCCCCAGCCACAGCAGGGAGCGGCCAGTGGTTTGGGGCAGCTTCTTCTTTCTCGAAAGAGGAACCCGGGAGCTCGGGAGTCACCTTTTGTGCTGCTGCCTGGACACTTCCACTTCCCCACTCCGTGTGTGGCCAAAGGGTCCAGCTCTGCCCAACCCCGGGGGGCACCCATACCCACCCTGGGGACCCCCCCACCTCCCCGCCCCCATCCCTCCACCCCATGGGAATGTCTCCGTCCCTCCCTGCCCGCGGACCTTGCGGCTGGGGCAGAACGACGACGTAGCTGGACAGACGGACGTCGCAGGCTGTCCCACACTCCAGCGGGATGGGGTAGCGATGGAAGTGGTGCAGCATCTCCACGATGGAGGAGAAGCGGAGGTGCTGGACGCGGCACTGGCCCCGCTCCGTCAGCGCCAGCCGTAGGTGCTGCGGGGAGGAGCACGGACCTGTTACCCTTCCACCGGCTCCCTTTGCTGGAGGAGATGATGGGGGACACGGGGATATTTGGAGTAGGGGCTGAGGGGGGGACACAAATGGCTTTAGCATGATGTGCTGCATCCCCAGCTGCATGCCCAGCTCGCTGCAGGGAGTTTTCCCCCCCTCCAGGAGCGGGCATGGGGCTGTGAGCACAGGGACAGGGACCAGGCAAGGAAAACATCTCCATGGGGTGGGACAGCATGGGGACCATGCTGCGGTGGGGAAGCTGCCCGAGGGGCTCCTGTGAGATTCCAACCCCTCCCCTCCCCGCCCCCCCTAATTCTAGCCCCTCTCCTGCCCGTACCTTTGCTCTGCCCTGGAAGTTGAAGGTGAGCACGTACTCGCCGCGGCGCGTCTCGCTCTGCCGCACCAGGAAGACGCCGTGGCCCTCCAGCCCCCCCAGCTGCACCAGCTGAGCCGCCTTCACACGGGAGATGGGCCCGTGGAACCAGGGGCAGGAGGAGAGGAACTGCTCCATCTTCGGTCTCGCTGCCTCCCCCGGGCCCCCTGGCGTCGCCCCTGCCAGCGCACAGGGATGAGCATCCCAAGGACATGGGGACCCCTGCCCATAGCCCCCGGCCCCCTTCCCTTTGGCTCTGTCCCCCCCTGTCATGCCATTTGGGGATGCCCGATCAGCCTGGCCAGCCATGGCTGGGGACCCCCCCTGTGGCAAGGGATGCCTCCCCAGCACCTCTGCCCTGTCCCCAGGGCGTCCCCACTTCTCACCTTGGCCAAGGGTGTCAGTGCTGGTGGTGGGGCTGGCGGCCGTGGGGTCAGGGTACCGGCACGCCAGGAACTCGGGGTCGCCCACATCAGACCTGCCGGGGATGGGAGAAGCCGGGCTGAGCACTGGTGGTGGCGGGGGGGACGGGAACGGTGCTGGGGTGGGGGGACACACGGAGTTGCTGTCCCCATCCCCAGGCTCAGGGACATCCGCCGGGCGCTTACCCCCTGCGCAAGCACTCCCGGATCTCGGCTGTCCAGGAGCTGAGCTGCTGCTCATCCCCCGCCTCGAACAGGACATCGGTGGCGTTGGTGACCTGGGGGGACATCAGAGAGGGACACGGGGGCTTCAGATGGAGACAGCGATGTGCATCCCCCTCCCACCCACCCACTCTCAGGCACCAACCCTGACCCCAGCCAGCGCAGAGCATCCCCCCCACCCCAAAAGCCACATCCCCACCCTGTGAACCCCCTCCCTGGCTGGGAAGAGGAACCGAAATTTGGCACGGGAGCTTTCGGCAGCCACGTGCAGCCCTCAGGGTGGGAAAGGCCTTGGGGCCGGCTGCGGACCCCCTCGGGCGGGCCCTACCTTGAGGACGAAGGTGTGGAGGTTATCGGGCATCTCGAGGCGCGTGCACCTCCGTACCTCCTGGATGGCGGAGCAGGCGGCGTGCAGTTTCGGCTTGGAGCCCTGCGGAGGGGAGCACGGCAGCTGAGCTGAGCCCCAGCACCCCAAAACACCACCCCACGTCTTCCGGCAGCTTTTGGGATGGCAGGGGGTGGGGGGGTCGAGCTTGCCGGGAGCCACCCGAAGCACAACAGCCAGCAAGGAAATACCCTGCTCTGCAGGGAAATACCCCACCGGCAAGGAAATACCCCGTGCAGCGTGGAAATACCCTGCATGGCACTGCCCGGCTGCTGTCGGGGCACGCCGGGGAGGGGGGGCTGAGCGGCACCCAGAGCGGGAACCCATCTCGGTGGCCCCAAGGACCCAGCAGAATGGGGATGGGTGGAGGAGAGGAGGGAGAAGGGGATTCCCAGCACGGCAGCGCGCACCGGGGAGCCTGCGAGACGGGGAAATGGGGGTGCAGGCAGGGAGCACCCGGGTTACGGTGCGGGGTGAGGTGGGAGGGGGGGGGGTCGGCAGAGCGCGCGGCGGTGGCGTGCTGAGAGCTCCCCGCGGCCACCTGGCTGGTTTGGCGTCGAGACAGGCACATGACAAACCGCTGAGCAAACACTTCCAGAAAGACTAATAATACCCCCTCCCCAGCAGCTTTCGGTTCCTCTGGCACCCAACGCGCGCCGGCAAGCGAGGCGCTGCCTGCCGCGAGCCCGCGGCACCGCAACGGGCTGTATCCGGGGTGCCAGGGACCCTCCTGGGTGCGAAATGCTGCTGGGGTTCCCCTGCAGCGGTGCTGGGAGATGGAGCCAACCCCTTCCATGCTGATCCGGGCTCGGTGAGTGAGCCAGCTCGGCAAAGTCCAGCCAGGGCCAGTATGTGCCGGGCACGCTCGACCCCCTGCGCCGGGCTTGCTGCCAGCGCGGCACGATCAAATTTTGGCAGGCTGTGATTCTCACAGCAGCTTCAGCATCCCCTGGGTTAAGTCACCCGCACCGGCTCCGGCCGTCCTCGCTGAGCCACGGCCACTGTCCCCTTGAGGAGGCCAGGCTGTGGGCGTTTCGCCATGCGACGGTGTTTGCCAACCAGAGAGCCTGAGTTTGGGTGATGCTCGCAGCAAAGCCACCTCTGCCACCTCCCCAACCGCCTGCAGGACCCCAAGGGGGTCCCTCGGTAACTCAGCACTCTCCATGGTCACCCAACCAAACCAGGTTTGGTTGCTTTTTTTTGTTGTGTTTTCGGTTTTTTGGTTTTTCGCTTTGGTTTTTTTTTTTTATTTTTCATCCCCCCCCTCCTTCCTCCCTCCCTCGACACTCTCTGACCGAGGACTTGGTGTACTTTGGGGCCGGAAACACAGCGTGAGAGGGATCAGCCCTTATCAGCGCCGAGCTGCGCCGAAAAGAAAATTCTTAGAAGTTGCTCGCCAAACGGCATCGTGCTACGGGGTTGGTGCCACCGCGGCAGCTCACGGCACCCCCAGCGACAGTGATTGCTGCAATCATTGCCGCTGCAGCTGCAATCACTGTCGCTGGCAGGGCCAGGGGTGCCACGAGGCGCCGCGGTGGCACCGGGGTTTGATCCCGAAGGAGTTTTTATTTTTTTGCCACCCTTGGGAGATAACCGGCGTCCTGTTCAAAGTCCTGCAGGGAGAAAGTGAAGGGTTGCCCATCCTGGCTGCTTTCCCACGTGTGGGTTGTGACGCCTGGCACGTCCCCGAGCTCGCCGGCGCGGTGGGTTTTATCAGCACGGATCCTGGGGTCGGCCTCCCTCTTTCCTAGGAAGTGGGAAATTCCAGGAAAAGGGAGTTCGGCGAAGCCCCCTGCGTCCCTCCCCGGGGAGAGAGCAGATGGGGAGCGCAAAGGGAGAAGGAAATGATGCAGCAAAGAGATACGGCGCCCGAAAAACCAGTCTGGCTTCGGAGAAGTGCCTACCACAGGCACGGTGCCCCCACCCCCCCCGGACCGCCGCACCTGACCGCAAGACGCCCTGCTCGATGGCACCCGGTACCGAGAAAGGGATTTCTCGGTAATGAAAACTGCACACTCAACACACTGAGTGTTCACCCACCACCCACGGGCACCCATGGGCTCCTTCTCGGCAAGAGAGGTGTCACGGCAGCACTGTGGGGCTGGGTACCCCCCCCCCGCTGCCAGCTGGGCTCGGGGTGCTCAGGGTGCTCGGGATGTTGCTCCAGCTCAGTCCCAAGCTCAACCAGCATCATCTCCCGCTCCAGACTTCACCGCTCCCCCAAAGGAGCCTATGCACACGAGGGAAACCCCAGCACAAGGCTGATCACCCCCCCGCCCCCCAAAAATCACTGGGGGACATGACATCCTGTAAAGCTGCACTCTCAAGCCCCCAGGACACAGTGGCATCCCCCGGTCCCAACCCCTGGCACACAAAATTGACCGTCCTGGGGTGTGACACGGGTGAGCTCCAGCTCACAGGGCTGCCAGCAGCAGGATCTGGCCCAGCTCCCCCAAACCCCCTCTGCCTGCAGGGGCTGGGCACTGCTGGGGACATCAGGACACCAATGGGGACAGTGGTCCTGTCGGTTGGGGACAGAGGAGCCACACCGGCTCTCAGCGCCTACTTAAATTTAGTGCTTGAGAGCAGTGTCCTCTCACCTGTGGTCTGCTGACCCCTCAGTATTTCTATATTTGTTTTTCACAGGGGATTTTTTTTTCTAGAGTTTAAAAATATGAAGATTCAGCCACGCCAGAGCTGTCCCCAGTGTCAGGGGACATGGGGACAAACTGGAAAATGGAGGAAAAATCCCCCCAGGGCGAAACTCCCTCCTGCTCCCTGCCCAGAGCATCCCGCCAGAGCCCACGGCTTGACCTGGGTAGGGGGGACACCCCACTTCACCTCACACCATCCCATGTCCCCGCATCCCCGACCTGCCGGGGGGTCCCCATGGGGTGTCACTGGGAGAACCAGCACCGCAAGGGGAGAGCCGGGCACAGCTCCCGTGGCCACCGCGCACCTGGGGAGGGCCGGGCAGCCGGGAGAAAGTGGGGTTTGCCGGCATGTGCCAGATATAGGAAGGAGCCCGATGCCAGCTCGGCGCTGTGGTCGTGCAGGGAGCGCGAGCTGAAGGTCAGGCCAAGGTCACAGCTGCGCTTGGGTGTTGCAGGAGAGGAGCTGCCGCGTTTCCGCCTCGCAAACCCCCAGTAACAGCTCTCACCGCGGCTCCTTCGCCCGCCACTTTCTTTCCTACCTGTGTTTACCTGGTACCTTGCAGCAGCGGCTCGGAGCATCGTGGCGATCCTCCCCCCCGGCAGCCTCCACAGCACAACTTCCATGAGGAAACCACCCCCCAGGAGGGATGGCTCGGCAGGGCGGGTCCCCCTGGCACCTCTCCAACATGAATATTTTGGATTTTTTTTTTTTTTTTGAAAGGGGAGGGAAGGAAAACTCCCAGCCTGCCCACGCGTGCTGGAAAAGCTCTCGCTGCGATGCTCCAAGCTGCTGCTGCAAGGAGCACAACCTGCACGGCCACAGAGGGGCCACTACCGATGCTGGGAGAGATTTTTCAGCTGGGGGAAAGAGGAAGGCAGCCAGCTTTCCAAGAACGAGAGCGAAATCACACTGCCCACATCCAGGGAGGGCTGCGGGTGCCTTGAGGTTTGACCCCAGCACTGCCCATGCACCCACAGGTTGCTGGCACCCACCGCCCACCCGGACACCCCCGGGCTCAGCCGATTTCTGCTGGGTCCCCGAAACAATTCCACCGCCCACGATGTTGGTTTGTGGGAGGGAGCCGGAGCCACCCACAGTTCCCAGTGGATTTGGCTGGTGCCCAGTCCCCTGCTGGCAAAGGCGGCAGTGATGCAGCAATGACAGCGGTGGCGATGGTGGTGGTGGCACGGTGATGACGGCGGTGGTATGACGATGATGGCTGTGGCGTGGTGCCGATGGTGGTGGCACGGTGACGATGCCAGTGGTGGCACGGTGACGATGGCAGTGGTGGCACAGTGACGATGGCAGTGGTGGCACAGTGACAATGGCAGTGGTGGCACAGTGACGATGGCAGTGGCACAGCTGTGGCGGTGGAGCTGGCTGGCCGAGACTGCCCGGAGCAGAGAGCAAATCCTTCGAGAGCGGCGGGCGCTGCCGCCGGCCCCTCCACGCGCTGGGGATTTCCCCACGCCGGCTCTTTCATTTCCACTCTGAGTCACGCCGTGGGAGGCGGGGAAGCGCCACGAGCCCTTGTGCAAGGTCCCCGACGGATACGGGCGAGATTTGTCACTTCTTGTAAATCACGGAGCCCGTCGTGTGCCTCTTATGCAAGGGACAAACCTCAACCGGAGCTGCAGCGTGCCTGAGCCTCGCCGGGCTGCTGGTGGACAGACAGACAGACGGCCACAGAGATCTGCAGCTCTGCAAGCGCTGGGTTACGCCAGCATAAAACCACATCCCACACCAACGGCCCCGGGGAGTTTTTTGAAGTTTCCCAGGAGCGCGAAGACATTCAGCCCTGTCCCTGGGGATACTGGGTGAACTGGAGGGGAAACACGTCCCATTGCACCAGTCTGGGGCAGCAGGGTGGCAATGGGGGGCACCGAGGGGTGAGCTGGAGGGTGCAAGGTGCCTGGTGCACTGGTGATTGTCCTTGGAGGGTTGCACCATGAGTAATCCCAGCGTTCATCCTTGGGGATTTTGCACCATAATCCCAGCACGTGTCCCTGGGTGTTTGCACACTCCGGCTAATCCCGGCATTCATCCTCAGGGATTTGCACCCCAGCTCATCCTGATGTTCCTCCTCAGGGATTTGCACCCCAGATAATCCCAGCATTCATCTTCAGGGATTTGCACCCTGGTTAATCCTGGCAATCATCCTCAGGGTTTTGCAGCACACCTAATCCCAGCCTGTGTCCTCCAAAAACTAATCCCAGCTTCTCCCACTAATCCCAGTGCCCTTCCTTCTCTGGCATTTGCACCACATCTGATCCCAAGGGGACCCCTCTGCCACGGGCAGCCCTGTGCCAATGTCGGTGTTGGGGCTGGGGTCTGGGATCCCACCAATTTGGGCCATTTCCCTGCACACCCGCAACCTCTCATGGGCCTCC